AACGCCGTCGTTATACGCACTTTATTGTCATTATATTATTATATTATATTATATTATTATCTCAACGACCATTGTGGTCGACCAAAATGTGTCCAGAGTCTACGCGTTGCCACGATTGTTAAAAAAAAAAAATATCCACGATCGCGACTTGCAAGCAGTCTAGTAGAACAGAAAATCATACATAATATAATAAATATGATATGATATACGTTATGTGTACATGTGTACACGGTTGTACATAGAAACAACAGAGCTTAAGTACGCGTTATCGGGATGATCGTCAGAGGAACGAAGCGACGAGAAGTAAAAATGGTAGAAGCAGCAGTGGCAGCAGGCATAGTCATCGTGATGAATCGAGTATACACATTGTAAGTGTGTACACACAACGGTGACGTGACCCAAATGCATCTGAACAGATGGTTTTGAATTTCGTGGTGTTATTATACATGCGTATACACCGCGCACGAGCTAGAAGATAATATACTATTGCTATTATGATATGTAATATAATAAATAATGAAAGAGATTAAAAAAAAATGTGTTCGATAATAATTTAAACAGCTGTACGCGCCCGACACGCGGTACCTATTAAAACAACTGAAAACTTTGTACTCGAACCTCACAGACTACTTTTTTTTTTTTTACATTATTACTGTTGTTATATTATTATTATTATTATGTGCTCAGTTGTGTATAGCCGAACACGTGCTGTTCGGGTCACGCGGGAAAACAAAACCGACCGAATATAATATGTTTTTTCCCCTGTCCATTTCGTTTCATAACGCGATTCGCGTTTATTAAATACAAAATGTGATTATAATAATTATATTATTTCGAGTGAGAGGCGATTAGTGCGAATGGTAAACGCTCGCGTGGGTGCGGATCCGCACGATTTCGGTTTGCGGCCAACACTGGTTCGACAAATGGCTAACGATAAGTTATGTAAAATATGTGCGATACAATAGGGGCAAATCCGACCTATCTCTCAGTCTTGGCCAATATTAAAATCTAGCGTTGTCACCTCTCCTCTTATACCCTAAAGTCTAAACTTTTGCGCTGCTTTCGAGTCAAACGCTCTGCTGTGGTCGGGTTTCGACTTTTAGTGCGTTCCGTTCCGTTCATATAATGCGGTTTTACTTTCAAAAAAATTTCAGAAAATCCACCGGTCGAGGGCAGTGATTTCATATCGCGCCCGAGGATATAGTGTTTTTTTTTTATCTCAACTTAAGCCACACGCCTCATAAGATTATAATATGCACGTGTGTGGGTACAATATATAACTGTAGTGTGCTGTGTAAATGACCGGAGAATTAGAGATTAAAAAAAAAAAAAAACCAAATACTGTTTTGCGGCTAACACGCATCCGACTTTCCACGGCGTGTTTTAAACAATTGTGTATGTTTGTGGCCGTAATATTATTACAATACTTGCGTCGGCCGTTGTATTTGTACACATGAAATGCATAAGCACAAGTTTTTAATTTAAAAAAAAATACACGAGGCAATTAATATCATGTGAAATTACGTGCCGGAACAAACAGGGCTGTTACAGATATTATATTATCTGTTACAGTTATTATTACAGATACAGCTGCAGCAGATACATCCCAATGGCAGAAGACATATCTCATCACTTGGCCTTTTTCGTTTTACCTGCGCTCTTATAATTTATTTGTTTTGCAAGATTCCCGAAACTATCCTGGACCCACCGGAAACACTTTTCGTTGACAAAATAAAAAAGTTCGACTTGTCCTATGATGGGGTTTACCGGTCTAGTCCAACGCTCCTGTGCTTTAACTTTGTATACTGTATCACACATTGGACACATGTACCCAAGTATATAAGTTATTGCACATAGGATTTTTTTTTTACTATCTCATACTACCACAAGTTACTAAGCAAAAGACGACGGTCGTTGTTTTCTTTTCCAGTGAAATCTGTGCCACATTTGTACAATATTGATAGTTAATGTACATAACGCACTAATGGCGATGTGTATACATACTACATATGTCATATAGGCTACCGAATGAAATCAAATAATTATCAATCCGCTAAAAAACACACGTTAATTTAAAAACTTGTTCAAGTAATTACACAACAACAAAAACTCAACATTTTTTTACTAATAACGTTTGGTTGGAAAGTGGTCTTTTAGACGACCTATAATCCAAAATGTTTCTCAGCGTATAATTTTATTTATTAAATACTTTTTTTAATAATTATTTTTCGCCGATGTTAACCACTCTTGGTTTAAATAAACAAAATGTTCATTAGGTATATGGATTTTATCTTTGCAGTTTGAAATTACTTTGAAAGAGATTGTAAAACGTATTACTACTTATTATACTTTCAGATTATTTTCAAAAAATAATTTTTTTTTTTTTACAATTTAAGTTTCTTATAACGTTTTTAGCTTTCTTAATTCTTGTTACTTAAAAAAATGTTCTATGTAGTATAAAGAAAAATAGTTACTTACATATACATTCAATATCGAGTATATAGTATACACTCTTAATATCTGGTAATTCACTTACAGCTTGATTAGAAATAGTACTCCACTAAGTAGACCATTTAAATGTTTACAACACATGTTTTACAATTCATTGTATTTGCTTATAAAAAAATCATCTGTCTGATAAAAAGCCATATCGAAACCTAATATAATATAGGATGTACAGTTATGCATTTTACGCAAGACACTATTTTCTCGGAAAATAGTTAAAACTAACGATAAGTTGATTGTGAAATAACATTAAATAAAAAATTTTCTTTCTTACTCCTTAAGACCCTCAAAAATAGTCAGCAGCCAATCATAAAAAAACCTTTAGTAACGTTTTTAATTATTACTGAAATTCAGAGGGAGCTTCAAGACTACTGGACTGGATTTCCCCAGCCCTCTCTTGTTGCGCCTATGTATGTTAACTAATTATTATTTAGTTTATAAATAAAATAGTACTGAACAAAATACGTTTTTTTTAAACTTTAAAATGCGTTTCCTGGACATTTTTTCAAAATCATGGTATGTGTTGAAACGACATGAAAATGAAATAATCGCGTGTGCTGTAACGAGTGGTAATTACTTGTATGTTTTTTGTACTAGTGTACTACATAATATTATACTATAACAATATTGTCATTGTTACATAACGGTATAATACAGAATGTAAAACTAATGCGGATTCCGGTAAATCGAAACGAGAGAAAATTTCCGTCTTTCAAGTCCGGCGGTCTGAGATTACTCATTACCGGCTGAGACGGTCGGTCGTGTGACCTTATAGTATTTTTTATTTATTTTTTTATCGCGACAATCGCTTGATCGCTGGCTACTGCAAACCCGCATAGTGTGAACTCGCAGGTATCCAGTTGCGTTGTTTCTATATTATACTATGAGTGTTTCCCATCGTTCAGATCTACCCGATTTGTGAAAGTCTAAGAGTATTCTTTGAACGAAAAATGTACAACTAGGTACGTATATTGAGCGCCAAAACAAATGTTCAGTGTCAGTGTGTACACTTCGTAGCTTAACCGCCTTAATCCAATATCCGGAGATACTACCAACAGATCTATTATACATGTATAAACAATAATACGTCTTGTCGTGATAATATATCATGTGTGTGTGTACCGTGTATGCATATCGAGTATCGTCGGTTGACACAAGTGTTGCATGTACTTTTTTGTTATCTCCCACGATCAGGAGTTTATCTATCTATATTTATTATATATACTATGTGTGTATTTGAATACACGTGTGCTCGGCTTAAACGCACAGTGGTGTCCGAATAGAATGTGAAAGTTATATGCATGTGTGTATTTTTTGCATCAATGGAAACCGTGAAGGAAACGAGGGTACATATAGTATAAGACGTGTGCCGGAGCAAGGCTAAAACCAGTTTGGCTGTAAAAAAAAAAAACAACTGTTCTCCAAAGCGCTCGGTGGTCGTGCAAACGTGTCTATATAATACACTGTATGTTAACTTTATTACACTTGTAAAATAAGTATTATGTGATTCACTGGTTAAGTGTTTTTATGAAAATAATAAAATTAACGTTGACGAATAAATCGATAACAGATTGTGAGTCTCATTTAGGCAATACCACCAAACCTCAATAAAACTATTCTCCTAAATGTATATTTCCAAATTGCTTTATGAGACTTAGAAGTAATAATATACAAATTCACGTATTATATGCTCGTACCGAGGTCGTTCCAATGTCTGTTTGTGGTCAAAGTGAATGTGGACTCTCAACGTGGACACGTAAATTTCAACACAATTAAAGAGTATAAATGAAAAGAATGGGGTTTATTGTTTCCTGCATTATATCGTATACGGTATCTTGTAAATGGATACATCAATTATAAAACACATTTAAAAAATGAGCTTATTTCATTTTTATCGCACTTTATTTCACAGTTTATTTCTCAAAAACTTTTTAATATAATATAAGTAGTATTATGATGGTTGAATGCTACTTAAATGACAAAAAGTGGCATTGATTCATACATAATTAACGTTTTGCGATATCAAACGGATAGCACACGAATCGGGTTAAGTACATAAACTTCCTTGAATAGCCGGTTATTTGATATTTGATATGTGTCGTTCACAGATTTCACCGTGATATTTAAACCAATTTGAGATAGTAAAACAGCGAGTTCGCTAAGACTGAGGGCGTATCGTAATTGATTGATAATTACCAAATCTCTATATTAAGCCTGTAATAGTTGTTATCTGGTCGAATGTAGAAACTGGCTTTTTCGTTGATGTCTTTAAATATAGCAGTACGTGAAATTTATTTATTACCTGATTCTGGTTAAATTTTTCACTTTATCAACTCGACCTTCATCAATTAAATAAAAATTTTTAAATACAAATCATTAAAAAAAAGAGAGCTATAGTCCGTCGTTGTTTTTTACAGTTCACCTATTTTATTTAAACAAATAATTAATATTTAGTAGATTATAAATGACATTCTTTTATTTTATGTTTTATTTAGGGCGTTGTTTGTTGTCCACGTGAACAGATTTAGCGATGAGCGGTCGCGGCAGTATTGTCAAGAGTCCCGTGGTGGGATGCAGATGTCACTACATACTTAAAAGGTGTTTGGCCATTCATCTGCAAAAACAATCGCTGGTCCGGTATGCACCGCAACAGACAGAAGCGTCTCCGTATTGGATGTACGACAACGGGTACCTCATTTTCCAGGCAAGTCTTGTATAGAAATAACAGCGATGATCCATCAGTATTCCTACGACGTGTGAAGATCAGTAGATTAGTTTGCTCCTCTCCTCTCCCTCTTTCTCTTTCTTTCTGGAAGCTTAGGAAAACTTCCACGTCTCGTTCATTGATAGTGGTTTCTACAATATTGACCAAACCCGATGATAAAGAATACATGTATTGAATCATTGATAAATTATCTGAACGTCACACTATATATTGTATACACATTCGAGTTGTAAACAGTACTTTGTATTTGACTTCCAACTTCACCTTTTACCCGTCATTCTCTTTAAAACACTTGACGAATATCACGCTATGTAATTGTATAACCTTCATGTTGGTTTATTTTATAATTTGCTTGCGGAAACCATTATTATTATTATACCCAGGAAATTAAAATCAAACAACTTATTTTGTTAAAATATAATTTATGTATGAATACCAATTACTAGTTTAATTATTGCAGTATTCTATTACGGCCATAAAATATGTAATGCCAAATAGTTATTAGCAAAACTATAGCAAAATATTGGAGGAATTTTGTTAAAAACTGGTTTAAAAATGAATTTCAAAAATGTAAATTTTTTATCAGCAGGTAGAATACTTATTAACCTTAACTGTTTTGTGATGACTTTAGAAAAAGAAAAAATAGCCTAGGAAAAGAGTTAATTGGCCGCATTACTAAGTTTTGTTAGAAACACGAATTTAAAAATAAATTATAAAGCCACTAATAAAAAGTCTTATGAATTCGTATTTTTTCACAGATTTTAAATTAGGTCATTTAAAGTAGGCTTAAATCCTCTTACTTATAAAACGTACTGAATAGTGCCGTAGAAAGTAACATAAACCATTGTTTGACTGCACACCATATGTATAGTCTATATTAGCAATATAGTGAAAAACTGCTATTAAACATGAAAAACAATAACTTTTTAACGGTTTTTAGAGCTTTTTGGAGTCCAATCTAAAATGCGTCTGGAACAGGAGTCTGGTGGAAGCGATGCAAGTGGCCAAGTACGAGGGGTACGTGTCGCCCGGAGTGCTGTTGCTCACCAGCGACCCTTGTTCCATGGAAGTGATCAGGGGAGCTTGGTGCAGAAACGTACTCAGGCCACCCAACGGCTATGTGGTCACGAAAGTCGGTGAGTACAATCTTGAGATAACAAACCTTGACAGACCGTTGAATTTTCGTTTTCGTTTTCACCCCTCAGGAGACGTCGAAGACTGCGTTGTGGAAGACCTCAACCAGGGACAGTTTACACCACTGTCCGAAGCCCTGTGTCTAGTCATTCTGGAGTTGACCAGCGCCAATCAAAACGCCACGATCGACACTATTCGGTCGGCGCTGAGGATGTTCTTCTCGAACATCCAACCGCCGTCCGAGCAGATCATCTACGACGCCATGGTCAGCCTGATGACCGACAATAAGGTACACAAACATCTTTTACCTAACTTGTATATTCAGTAGACCACCTGGCGTCGTCCGGTCGCGCCTCCAGGGTATACACAGCGCTGTCCGTACACGAAAACGATTACTTTCGACTACTTTTACTTAACTATATTATTGTGACGATGATCGTGTTTATTGACGTGTTACCCAGGGTGTGATATCCCAGTCGGTTTGAACTTCAAACGCGATTACAAAGGTCAAGGGGACAACGCACGCTATGGCTTTATTTAAATCAAGTAGAAATACCGGTTTGGACCATTATGCATCGATTGAACTCGTGTGCGAAAGAAAATCGCCTTAGCCTTAATGAACGCTGTCTAAACTGATAAAACGCGAGTGAGCGTGTCTTAATAAGAGTCGAGTTTCCGAGAAAAGTGGTCTGCGAGACGAATTACAAACAGTGAGCAGACGAGATGTCCTTTGAGTGAAAACTTGTTGTTTTTATTCAGCGACAAGTCTATAGTATGTGATTTAGGTCAACGTAATAATTTTTTTTTATCACTCATCCCTTCCACAAACTATATCTGATAAGATGAGATTGTTTTTAAGCTAATTGAGGTAGCGGGTAGAGGTTAAACTTTCTTTGTATCCTTGAGCGCTAAAATCGCCCAAATACTTGTTTGAGTGTAGTGTAATGTACAAGTGATACGCGCTTAGTACTATATATTATATTATCTCGGATTTATTGCACGTTAGAGCGACCGGACCAAATGAATGTGTTGGCGCGTACTTACTAAAATATTATTGCGAGTCTAAGCTTGCGGCTTGGCTGGCGCGCGCGTAAAGTAATAAAACATATTGTTGTACGACAAGTCCGTGCGGCCGTAAGGAAATTTTGCTACCTTAAACCGGTTTCCGGTTGTTGAACAGCAGCAGCGACCGCGCGTAGGCATAATACGTTATATTTTATGCGACCGTTTGTGTCTTTTTTTTTTTTTGTTTTGCCCCTCAGGTATACCAGACTTCCAAGGGTTACTTCGTGGTGACGCCCGAGGTGCAGAGGTTAGTGGGTTCGGCGACCGGCAGCCCGGCGCACAGCCTCCGGTTAGGCGGGAGCAGCCGGTACAGTCCGAGCAGAAAAGGATTTCTGATGACGGCCGAAGAAGCGTACGTCAAGGTGCACGGCGACATCGAAACCGTCAGGGACGGCGACCAGACCCATCAGAACATACAGACAAACTTGGCCGACATCATAGCTGGGGGTAAGTGCTAACCACGGTTTAAGAAATAACAATATGGTTGCCCGGTGGCCTACGACAACAGTCTCATTTCGCGGCCCCGAAGTCGATCCAAAAGACGTTTGTTTCGATTAACTACTAGCGCTCCTATCCGTGATTCAAGAGTGGGGGGGGGGGGGTACAAAAAAACACAGTATTGGACATCAGTGTTGCTGCCGACACGCTAAAACTCTTGCATCATTTTTGATCTTATGATACTGAAATCTTGGACGGAAAACGAGCGAGTTTATTAGTTTATCGTCATAGAGTTCGTGTTTGCTGTTGTCCGATATGAACTGGACGTTTTGTATGAATATTTAAATATTGGAAACTTTACCTCATCTATGTCGTGTAACGCGTTCACGTTGCTGTCCGACGAGATAACAACAGTGCACGCAGTCGGTCTGGTTATTGCGATATTATTATAATTCAATTCCACGCGGCGGGTATCATATATTATACGGTTAGGACTTATGCTTATATTATAAGCACGCGGTTGCTGGCTTTTTCGGTTCGCCCGTAAAGTCGCATGCATAAGTGTGCTGATTTAACCCGGCTTCGGCGATCGTTGACGGCGAATAGATACCGAGTAAAATACAACCACATAACATTATTAAGTCAAGACAAAAGGCGCGGTATAGAAAACGTGTCAACGACATTCATCAAGTAGTGCCGTATATTATCTTAGATACTGCGATAAAACAAAAAAACGTGCCGTTACGTTTTTCTTCTGCGCCCGTCCGTCTCGGGTTGTGGCCCGTTTTTCAATATTTTATTGCCAAACAGTGAAAGGACTCTCGTTATCGCGTGTGACTTTTTTTGAACACTATTTAATATTTACACTCGCTTTACTTTTTACCGGTGCAATAAACGACCGACCGGTTATTATATCTATGCATGTGTGTCGCATCCACGTTTCGTGAACTGGAAACTGAACATTTTACACTATGCCAACAACCATTTGTTTTTAAAAGTATACTATAAAGCTGGTGCTAATGTGCTATTCACAAAAACGGTGACCGATTCCTGCCGTCAACAGAGGTATCCTCGTCTTAGTTTAACCTATAGGTACCACTGTTGAAGGTGGACGGCCGCCGCTTTTCGGTATATTTAAAAAAAATCAACGCAACTTCTTAAAAAAAACTGTCCACTTTTCGTGTGTTAACGAGTCTTCCTGTACTTGCAGGTAACTCGGACGATAAGAAGTTGACGCCGAGAGACACGAGGAAACTTGAACGTCGCAATTCGCTGAAGGGCAACTCCTCGAGCCGGCGTTTGGCCTGCGGCACGCTTCAACGGAGCGGTTCCATGAGACTTATATCAAACAAACACAAGACCGAAGAAAACGGCTCTTGCGGCGTTTCGGAGCTAAGTACGGGCTGGTAAACCTACTCGGCCGACAGTGAATTGTAATTTTATTTTTGGATGATTTATTTTTTTAGAAAAATCTCCGGGTCTGTTTTCGAGACTGTTCGGCAGCCGCCGGTCCAATTCTAAAAGTAGAAAATCAAACTGTTGCGCGACCCAGTTCCCTCCGGACGAATGGTTCAACAAGAGCGTGCAACCCCAGCAGACCATTTCCACGCAGACCGAACAGGTAAACATTATGCTATCGACAATTATCGACACGAATAGCCCTTTCAAAAAATCGGGTTCTCCATTAGGCTACGGGCGTGTTGAGCTTCGTATCTTTGTAATCTAATATGCGATAGACGTTTGTTAAAAATCTAATAATTGTTGTCTATTTGCTCATGAAAACTATCAATCACGACATCGAATAATAAATCATCGATGACCTATCCTAGGATGATACCTAGGATTGATTGATCTCTATGTGACTTTGCTGAGATGTAACAATCATATAACAAAGTGGTATGATTATTTGAGAATCACCTAGTTTCCGTAAACCCGTTTGTTCTACGTTACAAACTTGTAATTTAGTTTTCACTTAATAATACCGTAACTAATTTGTGTAGCGTTTAATATATACATAGCGGTTATAGTGCTATAATTATTATGATGATTGCGCGTCCATTATATATCATTGCTGCCGATGAACTCGTTATTATACTTAGATCTAACAGCTGTGCGATAAACTGTGTAGTGTGTGTACATTGATGAAGATTGCAATTTACTGTAATATGATTGCGATGATAATAAATATGGCTTCGATTAAAGCGTCGGTCGTGTGAGAGTGGACGAGCTGTTGATCATTTATCATTTAGTTTTTAGACGCAATTGTGTAATATTTGAATATATAATTCGGTTCCAGGATGTATTTCCCGTTCGTCGGCCATTGTCGTTCAACCAGCCTGAACAATATTATTTTTTTGGCCATCGCTCAGTCGAATCTTTTTTTGTACAATACCAGTCACGATTTGTTGACATTTATGATTTCTTCGGAGCCCGCGCGGTTGTCTAAGAAACTTTCTTCAAACCAAAGAGATCCGTCTGCCATCCGCGAAAGTGCGACGGGTGTCGTTCAGTCTTGTTACAAGGGAACAGGCAACAGCAGTGACATCGGCTCCAACGTCAAACGTTATTTTACTCTCAGGACACCTTCAGTACACCACCTGCCAACGTATTTCTCTTCTGAGCACAAGTGCTTTCTTTTCAAACACTTTTCGGCGGTTGCTTTTAATCGATCGTATTGGAAATAACACAATTGCGTGCAATGCATTCTTCACTTGTTCTCGTGTCGGGTCGACTAACAGAGTATTCACTATTGATGACAAATGTTAACAATTACATCTTAAACATGCGTTGGTTAATTACTTTGAACGCGTCAATTGATGGTCTAATTCGTGGTAAGATCGACTGGGGACTAAAATCGGATTCAATCTTCCGACGTGCGTCGTTGGGCAGCGCAGTGTTGTTCTTGCTCCAATTTGTTTTTACAACTCTCGTTTTGAATGGCCTTTGTAAAATGTCTACAGGCGGACTCGGGTTAGAGCAAAACTTTGGCATTTAGCCATCATCTACCGCGCCTAGTTAGTTATCCATTGCATTCCGACAAACCGTACAATTTGGCTTTCCAAACGTGGCGTGAAAGATTTATCCGGTTGACTTGGTGAGTCTGATCGGCCGTTCCAAAGCTTTTGCTTTTGCCAATTCACTCAAACAATGCAATACTCCAATGAAAATTACAAACATAGCCCAGTCGACATATTTTACTTGTTCGTTCTACCATGGCTTTTCTGGGCTCGGGCCTTTTATGGATAGATCTCAAAGACGAGCATTGTGAAAACAACCTATTAGGGTGGTAAGTTGGCTGCTGAACTTACTTGGAAAGGTGTTACTTCTTTCTGGATTGAAGCATTCTTTTGGATTTTAACCCGTCAACGGTCTGCGCCTCACTCATGCGCTATAACGTGTGTTTGTTAGACGGTCAAAAATATAATATGTGCATAGTTAAGACGTTGAGTCTCGGTGGTGAGAAAGAGGAGGCCGTTAGTTTTTCTCGGGTACGTAATAAAATATTATGTTAACGGTTTTTGCAAGTCATTCCCGTGTTGAAAAAGCAGCAACAACGAACGGGGGACCTTAGATGTAAACCAGCACACACAATATAATATACACAGAGACGACACCGGCTGTATATTGTAATGCACATACGACTGTTTGTCACTGGGAAATAGTTCCCCACGCCATTAGCTACAAATACAAGATAGATTGTTGTTAATATTTTATGGGGTTTAACGTGGAAAAATACATAACCCTGCGCTGGTTTCAAAGACGGTGAATTTTTATTTTTTTCGTTCGATTATGATCTTACAAACAACTCAATATTGTGGTCAGCCGTAGTAAAAAAAAAAATAATGATACGCTTAGGTTTTTTTGAGACCGACGAAAATAATGATATTATTTACCAACACTGCCGATGTATCTCCAGGCTTCATCAAAACAAGTTCCTACCATGTATAACGTGCGAATGATAAAAACCACGACATGGTTACTATAATTGTTATAATTAACCATGTTAACTGTATCATATAATTCCAAAAACGACTCGGCTGTATCTTTGACGGCGATGGGCGTATTTGCAAATGATATTGTATATTAATTTTTAAATCTTTTCGTTTTACTTTCATGTCGGGCTGAACTTTTTTAAACCGACAAAAATTGGACGTCCAGAGAGATCATTTGGGGTATTTTATAATATAATGCACAAGTCATTAAGCGTTTTTTAAGATAAATTATGTTATTCAAGATGTTTTTTTCGCTTTACCGCGAATAAGTTTTGTAAAAATATTCGTAAGCAATTATACTTTAATTAAAAATATTCAAATCTAACCGAATAATATACTATTAATAACCTAAGACAATAATGGATTCATTTCTTTCCCTTATAACATGCCTTTGTGTTTTTTATGTGATATTTGCTCTTTCGTTTACAATAATCAAACGTCCAACTGTCTTTTTATCCTTTACTTTTTTCCTACATTCATTTCCATCACTACCACTACCTATCATAATTAGCCCAAAACATCTCTCATTCTAAACTCACATTCTCTTTATCTTGACTATTTAGTGTTTTCACATATCCACCTCGACAGTTTCATCACCGTATTTTCTGTTCTCCAACTTTGTATTTCTTCTTTACTGTCCATTATTTCGAACCATATAACTGTCTTTTTACCACACAAAAAAGCCGCCCTTTCTGTCCATTTCACCGTACTGAATTATATCTTATGTTATATTATTATCTTTTGTAGCGCAAACCTGTTCTAACATTGCCTCAAACAGTTAATATATTAGTTTTTGTCCTCTTTGTGCAGGAACAACGTTGCGAAACGAAGAAACAGCTGTGGCCGGACAGGCTGACCCGGAGCGCAACGCTTCCCAGGAAGGCTCGATGCGACCAGACGGCCGCCAGTTGCAGCGTGGCCAGCAGTAGCATTGTGAACGCGGACAAAGCGTCGGCCAAGAAGTATCCGTCGAGCGGGTCGAGCGGTTACAACTCGTTGCCGCGCATGAACGGCCGCAAGTCGGCGGCCGGAAGTTGCGCCGGCGGCGGTGCCAAACGTTCGCCGTCGTCCGAACTGTCGTACGACAAGCCGCCGTCGAGCGGCAAGCACGCGGACAAGCCGGACACGCCCGAGTTGCAGACGGCCACGAGCAACTTCGATTCGAGTTACAGCTGCGACGAGATATCCGTCAACCATTCGTCGTCGATCACCGTCGCGACAGCGCCGCCGGTACCTACGACGACGCCGAAAACAGCCGCAGACTTGCGTCGCGAGTACTTTCGCGGAATGGGCAAGTACTCGTCGGGCGGCAAGAGCGGCAGAGAACAGCAAGATCACCACCGGGTTCTTTACCGCGGTGGCAGTCTTCGCGACAGAAAAGCCATTGCTACCAACCTGCACAAATACTTTGATAACGCTTGTAAAATAAAAATATAATCTCTTAACAAATAATTGATTATAGTTTTCTTTATTATTTCTATATTAATATTATTATATTATAATTTGTACGAGACTTATGTAACATAATATTACATTCCGTTTGCAACACCCTTGTAGTGCTTTAAGTTTCGCGACACAATAATAATCTGTATCTTTTATAATATTATTAAGTTAGGTAACAATATACCTATTTAATTGATTTTTTTTATTTTCCCTGTATTTTAAGCAATATTTTACTTTATTTTAATGAATTAAAATGATGCCATAACATAATATATTATAATATACTGTAGTTGTATTGTACTATTACTAATCAAACAGAACGATTACGATATTTTCACAATATTAATAATTGTTATTGGTATTTTTATGACTATAATTATTTATTAACAACAAATAAATGTACATTCTATGCAAACATAATACATTATAATTTTTCATACCTTGTAACCGCACGTTTGTTTATTAACCAAATCGCCGTTTTAAAAAATTAACTTAAGTATTATACTTGATTACAATTGAATACAATTCGATTCTCTATATACTTACCATGAGTGTCATAACTCGCACTGTAATGTGTGCTGAAGGACAGTACCACTCAATATAATGATATTCTCACGCTCAAAGTTCTATCGAAATTTCAAAAACAGGAAATAGTTGTCAGGCGTTTTCACCAGACTTGGGTAGAAGGAGGGTAATGTGTTTATTTGAAATTATCATTATTAAAATAGTAACGCAATTCTCGTTCCCTTTTGTGTCTTCAGTGCAAATAGTCGAAAAATGTTCATAAGCGACTGAATGTAAGTGAAATTCGAAAGAATCAGAGCACATCTGCAAATAAATGGTACCTAATAAGTAATAACATAGGTAATAATGCGTTATATCACTGGCATTTGTATTACACTAACAAGAGCTTATCGTTCGCCACGACCGTGTTTGGAATGGCAGACATTGAAAACGGAAAATCAATAGTGGAACAAGCAATTACCACACAAAGTAAAATGATATAATTAAGGTATTCTCTGAAAACAAAAACAACAATCTAATTTGACAATAACCAAATAATTAAAGCTGGATCCAGTTTAGTTGTTTTGGCTAAACACTGACTGGCCTTACAATAAAATAAAACCGCTGTTTTTTTTTTTTAATTTTATGCCAATTCCGATAAGTATTTATGCATTTTAAATACTTAAACACATATAAATGATTATTAATATGCATAATAGACATTAGTTAACCTTATTCTAAACAGGCGAACCCTAATTACAGTGATAGCATATGAAGTGATATTTTAATTTTTAACTATTAATGTACAATTCTCGAAAAAAAAACACAAAATATTATGTGCCTAATAGATAGCATAGGTACATAGGTATTATAATCTTATGTAACAACAGTATAATAAAATAAAATCAGAATGTAAGAAAACATAATAATAGTATCTGAGTTCCAGACTGACACACACGGAAATTTCGTCAATTAGGTACATCGAAATACATACAGATGCGACCAAATCAAGCCTCGTTATTATACAAGGACCAAGGTCAATAGACAACAATACATACATTTCCTCAAACTATAAAACTACGATGCAATAAGACTAGCCAGTATTCTCGACCCAAACAATATCCTAATTGCAAGTGACTCTCTGTGCGCCTTCTAAAACCCATTTCCTTCGAATGAAATAACCAAATAAAAGTAACCGAACCAAAAAAAAAAGTCACAACCCACCTAGTCCTAATAGAACTGATGTTAATAAATGATGATACAGGGCCAGAATCGGTCGACTACACTTAACAACGCATTCATACCTGATCACCAAGAACCTCCCCTCCCCACTTCTATTTTCAGTATTTGACGGGACCACTCGGCATAAAAGCTAAAACACATAATAGGTCAAGAATGTACAGAATACGAAACAGCACGCCAAGAATTAAATATCGGTACAAAACTACAACCAAGAAGCACTCGGCGAAGAAACCACCCTCAATCTTGTAGTCTATAAAAAAAAAATTCAAATACCTGAGAAAAATTAAAAGGCCTTCTTAAAATAATCGTAAAACATCTTTATGGCAAAGCGTGTACGATGTAGGTCTAAGCGAAAGAGTCATGTAAAAACATTTTGATACCGTTAAAAAGAGGAGAACTTTAACTAGGTCGTGTCGTTGGTATTTTTAGAAAACGTACTCTACCTTAATTCTTAAATATAAGCGTTTAAAAAAGTAAAAAAATGTCAGAATTTAAATATAAATTGTTAATGTTGGATTACTAATTACAATGCTATTGTGGTTTAGCCTTTTCGACACGAATTCCGTTACAGTCTGTTTAAATCAACGCACTTAGAAGCTGCACGCAGTAACATAGTACTTATGTTTTTCACAAAGAAGCAAAAAACATGCAAGTAGAAAAGTATATTGTTATATTAATTATCCGTTTAATTAATTTTGCAGTTTTTTATAATGTTAGTTACGTCTACATAGTTAAGGTATTTTCCATTTAAATTTGTAATAAATTATAATAATATTATTATTGTAATATAATATTTTAATAAGTAAATATTCAATTTAAATAATAACAAAAATAATTTTTCTTATGCATTTGAAATTATTTAAAAAATATTTTAAATTTTCAATTGTATTGTGTGTACCTAGTATCTACCTCAAAATACATGAATGCATCTTATTATTTTGTACCCGACTAGTTTAATGACTGAGCAAAACAAATTTAACACATAGGGTACCAAAGTATTTGGTACGCAGCAAATGATTTGCTAAAAAGCGTTAACTGGCTTAATACATAACAAAACGCTCATACCAAAACCGATCAGTTAATAAAAATATTATAACAAATTTCAGCTTTGATGCGGAGCTATAACTCATTATTATAGGCAACTTCAAATTTTTTCTGTAAAAATGACTGAATATTAAAAGAGTATTGGGGAAAAATACAGGAGAGACCTTAATGTTGAAATCGAATGATGTTCATCGTAGGAAGTTGTTAATATTAACTGACAAGTGTAAGTGCATTTAGTTGAGTAGTTTTGAAACGTTCACGTTAAAACACGTCATGTCATAAAAGTTTGTATGAAGTGGTAGGTTAGGTTTTTTCTTCAACATAAATAATGTATTTTATAACCATTTGAGACAATTAAATATATTTTATAAAATATTATAATTTATCAATAGTTACACTCTGATTAGAAACATTTATAGTCCTTTTGATTTTTTTGGAAAACGTCACCAAGTCTTTAGCTCTAAAAAATTCATACATAGGAAAATAATTATTAATCAATACTCATCGCTAAAAAAAAAAATTTTACTTACAATTGAGTATTCATTTTTTTCTGCTGTCCTTTTCGATGTCTTTTTACTGGAACAAAATGTGAATCCGTTTCTTTTCCGGTTCCTGCGGGCCAGTTTAAAACTTTTTGATTGCTGAAACCTATTTCGTCATTGTCATCTTCATCATCTTCGTCCGTTTCATCATTTTTATTGCATTTCTTTTTCTTTTTTTTTATTACTTTTTGTGTTTTTTCTAGTTCTTAAAACAAAAGGTATACATTACAGTTCAATGTTGAAAATCATAAAAATATATATATTCATTTAAAATACTAACTTTTCATAAGGAACGCATGTTTTAAGTATCGCTTAGCATCTTTTTTTAATTTCAAAGATTCTTCACCCCCACTAGACTTGATACTCTTCATCACTGAACAAACGCTCATTTTGTCGTCGTCTTTCTTTAATCGTAGCAGCTCTTCGGCCAATTGCATATAGTCGGTTTTTTCCGGTTGTTGTATTTGTTGTTGCTGGTGTTGTTTTTCTTCGGCTAACGCCACTTTGGCCAACTTTTTTTTATACCTCCTTACTTTTCCCATTATTTAAATCCACTTGCGTAGTATAAATTAATAATTAATAGAAACTTTCGATAAAGTCTCGGCGAACTCACTAAAAAGAATAACCGACAGACAGAAAACATACAATTATTTTGAATTTATTGAAACTATAAACGCCAATTTGACAACAAAAAATATCATATAGTCTCACAACAGACACAAATACTCACGTGTAGATCCAAGCACATATCAACAGCTGATAACATTATCTATGTTTTTATTATCTCTAATCATTGTAATATTATCTAATATGTGGTATTATGATGAGGTTTAATTTATAATATGACAAAATTAACAGGTACGGCAGCAACTTGTTATCACTTTTTGACAATATGGTAGCCGGTTTTCTGTCGTAAGAAATGGTCGACCGAAAAAACTGTCAGCCATTTTGTGGTTATCGAAAATTGCTGACATACCTATTTATTATGTTTCGATTTTTATTTTTCATTATTTTATTCTAATTTTCATTTCAACAAAATATTATAACCAAATTCTAGGAGTTTTAGTCAATTCAGAGTAATAGATTTAGATTGCTTAAGACTGTTTTCAACCTTATAGCAAAATATTAGTTTGAAGTTTGTTAATATTTTTAAAATCATGTTTTGGCTCGAGATTAAATATTTAAAATACTTTTTGTCAACATTTTTTTTTTATTGATTTTAAGTTAATGAATTAATATTTCTCTTTTTTTTTCTTAAAAAAAAAATATAAATTATGATTTAATTCTGAAGGGTTTGGGAAAATTAAAAACTCATATATTTTCTTTTGGCTAAACTAGTAAAATTCATTCGTTTTAAACTTCATTTTTCACCAATAATGAATTTTGAATAACTATAGTGGGTTAAAAATAAATATATTTAAGAACTAGATAGCTTATTCAAAAACAAACTTTTAATAAATAAGATACTCTTAACATTTGTCATAATAATTCTGACTAACCTCTTTTGCCTAAACAATACAGAATGATTTTTAAAATGTTCGATTAATTTTAAACTATTTCTACTATTTTTTGAGTTTATTTTTTAAGTACTTGAATTAAAAAATGTATGTATACAAATTTAGTAACATTTCTTCTTTTTTTCAACATTTAAATATATTAAAGAAAATTTCAAAAAGAGCATAAACTTAACCAGAAGTATATATATATTTATATAAAGCCTTTTATTATATTTAATGAAGATTTTTATAAATTTATACCTATGACCTAAGAAGAATATGAATTAAAATGGGCGGTAGTATTTTGAAACATTTATAAGTCGTGAAACGTAAGACAATCTATTTTCAAAAACAACAGCAGTTACTAGTAATAATAAAATACATTTGACTGCTACTTTACAAATAAATATAAAAACATATATCTATTTAATTTCTGGGTGCAAGTTTCACCAATAGCTCTCCTTTCCTGACACTATCACCTTTTTTTCGTAATATCTCCTCAACGGTCGCTTCGATTTGTGCCTTGATAACATGCTATAATTCATAAAACAAACTGATTAATTTTAACATACATTTTATTAATTGAGCTGCTAATCATAGGATTTTAAAATGTAGGGACTTTTTTTTTTAATAAAAATAAATTTTCAAAAATTCTAAATGTAACACAACAAACTATGTCCTAGTATAACCTGTATAGTACATATCGAGCCAATGAGTACATGCTTTTCATTCTGAGCACAATCATATATAGAGTTAGAACTGAGTAATTAACTGGTATATCCTTACTATTACACTACGGGGGTCAAGATGAATTAGATTGGTTATACCTCTGGTTGTAAACAATAAAATCTTATTTTGTACTGCATTTGATATTTTATAAATGTTTAATGCTCCCTTAGATGAGCAGCTCTTGTGTGTAAGTACGACAAATAATCCGTAAGTAACAATTGGTGAAAATTGAAACAAATCTAATAATTGTGACACCTTAAGCATCTTGCTCATAGGTCGATATCACACATTTGTATTAATATTTTGTTCTACTTACTTCCATTTTCATAGCTGTTAACACAACTATTGGGTCACCAACTCGTACTAAATCACCTATTCCTATGTTAATTCTTTCTACAGTTGCTTGAGTCGGAGCTAAAATAAGTGAACTATTGCTCAAATCTTGTTCATTAGCCTCAATTGAATTTTCGTTAAATGGCAAAATTACAGTAAAATCATATAGTCCATCCTAGAACATCAAAACACTATTATTATTTATATACTGTTAGTAATTGTATAATAATAAATGTACATTATAAAAAATCTCTAAATATATATTCTTTATAGATGTTAAAACAAAATTAAAAAGATATAATCTAATAAAAAAACTATAATAATTAATCATCCGAATTTGAAAGATTTTCCCAATGTTTTGTTTTTAAGGCAACATTTTCAACAAATATATTTGTTTTCAATAAACATTTACAAAATTGGAATTTTATTATGTTGGTATTTTAAATGGCTAGATAAACATTATTTTAATGTCCTATAAACTATTCCTCTAATATTAAAAATAGAATATTCCGCACAATATCCAAATTGTTTAAAATTTTTCTTCAACCAGAACACAGAATATCAATTTTTAAAAATACAGGTAATATATTCTGAATAACGCATAACCCTGAAAAAATTAAAAAACGAGGATGTCAAAATGTTTGTTTAGCTGAATACTTTAAAGTTTAATGTCACCTTGTTTATTTTTATTTATGGATTAAATTGGTTTCTATCATTTAAATAACAATTTAATTTTAAAAAATGTAGGTACACTATTCCAATTATTTGGGGTATCTTTAAACCTTTAAGTCGTCTGATTTTGGGCAACAATTTCTTTTAAAAATTGGTTTTTTTAGAGTAAAACGATTTAAAATTATGAATTTTAAAAGAAATATTTATTAAACTGTTACATATATATAACCCACCATTATACTAGTCTTAAAAGACGCCAAATGATTAATAGTGTGCCAACAAAAAATATTTATTACTTTAATCATGCAAAGCACGATTAAATTTTAAAAATAATTTACAAATTATATAAGCAATATTGCATGTATGGTATATGATATTGAAATATTATTTACAACTAAATAAAGGTAAAGAAGTTTCTGACGTTTTCTCATTGCTAACCTTATTAAACATATGTATCGAGCTGTCAACAAATGCAACATTACATTTATAAACAATATTATCTAATACACATGTCAAAAGTGTCTTGTTGAGTTGCGACAAATCCAAATTACCACTAACTGTTGACACCTCTTTCGCGTTTTTGTTTTTGATGTTCATTTTGAATGTCGGTTCATTTGAACCAACACTATCATATTCGACAGTGCAGTCATACGTTTCTAAAAAAAATGATATAAAGAAAATATGTAATACAATAAATATAACTGTCTGTTAACATATTTTTATATTACCTCCACTTAAATTGTGTGAAAGTTTGATATTTCTAATAAAATTATGATTTACTCGGAAACCAGTGAGCGTCGCAAACGGTGAACAAGGATCCTTTGATTTTATGTTTTTAGTAATCATTTCATTTTCTTCGTGTAGTATCAATGCGATAATTGCCTAAATTATAAAAAATAAAAAACTACTACTATTATCTTATATTTAATAATTATTTTCAAATCGATTTATACTTGTGAAACTAATTCAGATTTTGGAGCAGTTTTAGCCAAAAGAACACTTTTATGTTCTTCAATGAAACCCGTGTGGACATTTCCTTTTAACAGTTCGTCATGTTTGCATAATGAAATTAAAAATTGAATGTTTGTCGATAGTCCACCAATCTATTATGTACCAGACAAATAGGTTGTTTTTAAGTTAAATAATTCATTATACTAACAGTGGTGTAGTCATAGGGTAAACACCGTGTATACCTATATGAATACACCATTGGCTAACATTCATATATAATTTTTACATTAAAGTCGGACAAATTGCTCTTAAGTTTGGCAAATGCATCTTCACGATTTTCACTCCAAACGACTAATTTTGCGATCATAGGGTCATAATGCACAGATACTTCGTCTCCTTGCCTTACACCGGTTTCTACACGTACATCATTCGAAGTCAAAGGGTAATTCAAATATCGCAAGTTGCCTGCTGCAGGTAAAAAATTGTTGAACGGTTCTTCTGCATATATACGAGCCTGAAGAGAGTGCCCGTTTAATTGTATTTCTTCTTGTTTCAAAGGTAATTTGTTACCTTCGGCCACCTACGATAAGAGTAAAATGTTATACATTTTTTTTAAATTTATTATTCAGTTTTTCAATAATATTACTTAATTTACTTACTTTAATTTGCCATTCGACTAAATCTACTCCAGTGATCATTTCCGTAACGGGATGTTCTACTTGAAGTCTCGTGTTCATTTCCATAAAATAAAACATATTAGTTGCACTGTCAAATATAAATTCCACCGTACCCGCTCCTTCATAACCGACTGCTTTTGCTGCACAAACCGCAGTTTCTCCGAGGTGTTTTCTTAAACTCTCACTCAAACCAGGCTAAAATCCCAATACCTCGATTAGTATAATATCAAATCAAACAAATGGGGATTTCAATGATATTTACAGCAGGCGCTTCTTCCAACACTTTTTGATGACGCCTCTGCACACTGCAATCTCGTTCAAATAAGTAAACACAATTGCCGTGCTGATCGGCAAAGACTTGTACTTCTACGTGTCTAGGCTGCTGTATATATTTTTCGATCAACACTGAATCGTCACCAAACGAACTCAAAGACTCTCTCCGAGCTGACAATAAACTTTCAAAAAACTCTGATTCTTTTAATACTATTTTCATGCCCTAAAATAAACAAACAACAGATGTATACACAGAATTACAATTACAAAAGTGTTCTTACTTTACCCCCTCCGCCTTTGATTGCCTTAATCATAACTGGGTAACCTATTTTATTTGCTTCACTCTGAAGAAAATCTGAATCTTGTTCTTTACCATGGTAGCCTTCAATGACGGGTACACCAGCCTGAGACATAATATCTTTGGATTTGCTAAAAAAATTAATTTGATTTTAATTGATGTAAAATTTATGTTATCTTTGAGTGCATTTAACAAAAAAGACCATTTATTTACAAATTTATGAACTAAAAGTGTATAAAAACTAAATCAAAACTTGGTTTTATATACTTTTTAATTGTTATCACCATTTAAAGAGGCAACATTTTTTAAAATCATATTTTTAATTTTTCCTATGAATAATGTTTTGTTTTATAAATCATTTATATAATAATGAATTTACTTGTAGAATATAATTAAATTTAATAAATTATTCCTATAATTTAGTGAATGTAAAAAAACAATTACCAAAATTGTGTTCTATTGTTTTAATTCATAATTAGTTGTAAATGTTGTTTTTTTTAAAAACATATTTATGTGTACACAAATGATTTATTATGTAATTTGTAAATTAATTATGAGAGCAAATGAGTATTATCACTGTTCAAAAATAATCTGTGCATCTACAGTGCTTTTATACCTTTTAATACCCATACTTTCGATTGCATTTGGTGGAGGACCGATGAATGTTAGATTGCTATTGAGACAATACTGGGCAAAAGAAGCGTTCTCCGATAGGAATCCATAACCCGGGTGAATGGCCTGGCTGTTTGTTTTAATTGCAGCGTTGATAATACGGTCTTTGAGCAAATAACTGTGTGCACTCGGAGCTGGACCGACACATACTGCATGGTCAGCCTATAATAAACATTATGATATGATCACCTGTAAGGCAATCTGCAACTACTTAAGATCTAATGGTACAGCTATAGGACTTACCATAGCAACGTGCATGGAATGTTTGTCGACATCACTGTATACAGCAACAGTTTCAATTTGTAAACGTCGAGCTGTTTTTATGATTCGACAAGCGATTTCTCCACGATTTGCTATCAGTAGTTTTGTGATGCGTTTGGTCGTACCACCATGAATACTCTGTGTACTGAAAATAAAAATTGAACCTAGATTAATCTCGCATACATTAATTCAATGTGGCGGAGGACATTTTTTTTTTATTATTTACATTATTATGTGACCTACCTTAACCGCATTTTAATGACAATAATGTATATTTTTTTGTTGATTCTACGAAAACTACAACAAGCTCTACTATCCAAATTAAATAGTTTAATGTACCTTGTAATAACAACACCTCAATGTACTTCCGGTATTATGACTTAACGTCATACTGCTGTGAGTGCTGACTGCTGAATCGAACGGGCAAACTCTATTCATTATCTAATATTATTGTTGGTATAAACTAAAACGAACGTGTAATGTGAGTAAAGAACGAAGTCGAGTTCCATACTTGCTTATCTTATCTCCAACGTTTTTAATTGAATACCTAGTACCTATAATAATATGGGATATATACTCGCCGACAATAACAGATAACCCCGTACACGTCTGTTTGTAATTTGTATTGTTTTAATAAATTATATGATTAGTTATCAATATTATCGTTGTGATAAAGTTTATCAATAGATTTTTTTGATTAACACAAGTATAAAATCGTAAAATTATCATGCAAATATTGTATTGTAATTAATTAGAAACAGAACTTATGTTAGAAAAAAAAAATTTTTAAACATTTTTTGACAAAAAATTTTTTCCGGAGGTCGCAACGATGAGGGGTGAAATGCACGATTATACGCTTTGATTTCACCGCGAAGGATCTCCAGGGAGCGCGTGTGTTGCATGTGCTCCCCGCTATCGGGGATGATAGCGGGGCTAGCTACTATTTTCACTGGATAACCAGAGAAGAGCTGGGCACATGGTATACAACACTTTTCGACATGGTCTACTAAATGTACAAGTACAAGAAGTGTTCCATGTCTGGCGGTATAGTCCAGGGCAGTGGAGGGGGAAGGGACTATTTCATGTGTACCCGAATTGCAACTGATAGGGGGGGCAACAGGACGACTCCTCCGCAAGCGACTTCTCTCTCAATTGGTGGGGTTAGGCACACTCTCTCTCCGACGTTTCTCAAGACACGTGGTGGGAAATAGCCCTCACAACCTCCCTTCCCCCTCTCACTCATGCCCGGTTAATTTCCATAGCCAGGCTGTTGTTGCGCAAGCGCAACGGGAAAGTTCACCTTATGGTGAGTTTGATGCATTACCACCCCCACCGACCTCGGCGATATTATGAACGAATCGAAGTTGTATATATACTTGCAGTTGATCGGAAACGACTACATGCGAGAGTCTACGATCGCATTTCTGAATGTAAGCGGTTCAGACGGCTTATTGTATAGATGGCGTTCGCGCATAAGTAGTTTTCCACAACTGGCGGCAGACTAATATTGGAGGTAACCAGTAACCAGTGACCATAATCGCGGTTCATTACTCTTGTTGGTGATATGATCTGATTCTGATCTGATATTGGTAATATCTCGGGCTCCTTAGTCGGTGCTCGCCGCTTGTGCAAAATCCAAATTTTAATTTGTAAAATGTGTATTTCCTCCAAATTGTTCTAACACTGCAAAAGCCCGCAACTCAATTCGCAATCAAAATATTGACAAGCTTTTTTAATATTGCCTCGAGCGCGTCTAATAATATCAATGAGTTATGAAGCACACACAACAATGTAAGTACTTTACTACTCATATAAAATCTAATCGATACAATTACATTAATTCGTTATAATTCATTCCATTGTTTTCATTGATATATTACAACAGCTAATGTCTTGAAATTTGTTCGGAATCAAATATTTGCTTTGTTAGAGTAGGCGGTGTTCTCAATGATAGTAAGCACTTAAACTTGTTAGCCAAAACATCAATCTACACGAGTTCAAACATCTTTCCAATGATCTTTTTTTTTAAACAATGTAAGTACAGGTTTAAACAGGTACTCAGTACCTGTAGGTTTTTTTTTTTATCATAACTTCATTTATGTTCTCTTATATCATACACGTAGCAATAAATGCTTGTTTACATAGAACAAGATAATTTATTTGAAATTTAACTTTCTGGTTTATTATAATTAATAAATAACATAACAGAAGCACTGAGTATATTTGCAACAAAATACCAATGTTTCATTTATCAACACAAGAGACAGGAATAAGTACAAACTATCTGTAGGCATACTTCACTTATGTTTACACATAGTAATTAAACGTGGTTTGTGTAACTGAATATATACTTTATTATGTAATTGTACATATACCTACTTATTTTAACTTTTTTTTTATTTGTTCAGGTGAAATCATTCTTTTATCAAAATATGAATGCAATTGACCTTATTTGAATGCATTTAATCAAGTAAAACATTTTTATCTAATTAAGAAGGTAAGTAAATATACTCCCCAGTTTTAATTTTAAAATAGGCTTTTTATTTAAACATAAATATACAATATGGAAAGTAAAAAAAATTTTCCGATTAAAGCAATGTTTATTGTTTTCTTTATCATATTGTGTATTTTATAAAATTCGTGCATTTTTTTCTAAAATGTTGAATTTTATAGGTTTGTTGGGAAGTAAATGTACAATAATTTGAAACATATTTTACAAGTTTCATTCAAAAATTTAAATATAAAAAATTAATATCAATTAATATTTTTTTCTGTAGTGTCAAGTATTAGTTTTATTGTGTTCAAGGACTTATAATAAATAGTTTTCAAAATAAATTTAACAATGTGGTGATGTAATTTTAGGTGTAAAACTAGTTTATTACTGGATTAAAACTATTTTATTTTTCTATAGTAATCATAAAGTTCTTAATTTTTGGGAAAACAATATTATATGCAGTATAATGCCAGTTTTTGTTGGTACACTGATTTTTTTTTTTTAAATTACCTATAAATAAATAAATTAAAAAATATATAATTATCTTATTCAATATTTTCAGGTGATTTTGAAGTTAATCTACACAAAACTTACAATGCCTCCAATTCCGTTAGAAGGCAATCAGCCAAGTATGAGCAATGGATTACCCCCCGAAGGATCTGTCTCTTTATCAGTATTGATTGATTTTATCGTACAACGTACTTACCATGAGCTTACGGTTCTTGCAGAATTGTTGCCACGGAAACCCGATATGGAACGTAAAATTGAAATCTACAAGTTTGCCAATCGTACTAGACAGTTGTTTGTTCGTCTTCTTGCTCTCGTAAAATGGGCAAGTAGTGCTTCCAAAGTTGATAAGTCTACGCAAATAATGGGTTTTTTAGATAAACAATCAATGTTATTTGTAGACACGGCCGACATGCTTGCCAGAGTGGCTCGTGAGACGGTCGTATCAGCTCGTTTGCCTAATTTTCACATTCCATCTGCCGTTGAAGTATTGACAACAGGTACATTCTCTAGATTACCCGCTTGCATCCGAGAACGAATTGTACCGCCTGATAAAATTACTGCAGCAGAAAAACGAGAAACCTTATTACAATTAAATAGGGTTATCCAACACCGATTGGTTTGTAGTAATTTAATCGGAGAAATGAGTTGTAAAAAAGTAGCTAATGGCAGAGTTACATTTCGAGTTGAAAATGAGTTTCAAGTTTCTTTGACATTGATGGGCGACAACCCTAATATACCATGGAGACTTTTGGATATCGAAATACTAGTCGAAGATAAAGAAACCGGTGAAGGTAAACCGTTAGTGCATTCTCTTCAGACACAGTATATTCATCAAGTAGTGCAAGCTAGACTGTTGGAGTGTTGCAGTACCGGCGGCGAACCTCTTACTCAGGTTTATACGGTTTTACACTATTTTTGCCAATCATTACAATTAGAAGTGTTGTTTTCACAGACAAGAGTTTTGTGTAAAGACAGATTGGATGGTCACATACATATAACCGAGTACACGGCGGGGAAGTGTTTAATTGTTACATATTGGCGGGAGCTTTCACACAGTGTGTCTGAACAATTCGGGTATTCTTTGACAGTTTATGTGGACGACAAAGAACCAAATAAACCACTGTCGATACTACATTCACCGTCTTTAGGCGTTAAAGATGCAGAAATTACAGAAAAATCAATTGGCACTGATCAGTTATCAATGGAAAGACTGTTAGTACATACAATTTTTGTACGTACCAAAATTCGTTTATCGGAACTCAAAGTAGAAATAGAAAACATGTTAAAAAACGTCGAATGCAATTTGCAAGGCTCTCCGGCAATATTATCAGTGGCAATACTTAGTCCTTGCTTGCGTGCCGAACAACTACTCATTACGGTAGATACACACACCGGCATGATTCAATGCCACGTACCCGAGTTCAACCCACCTTGTATAGTTCAACTACAACAGGCCTTGAACAGTGAAAATTCCAAAATACCTCTTCTCATAAGCGATTTGAGATTTTGGATTACTCAACGCCGTTGCGAGGCTACATTACAACATCTTCCGGCAACGGCATATGAACGATTACCAGTGTTGCATCATTCCGATCATCCAATGTCGAAAATTAGCCGTCATCGTATGTTTATTAAATTGCATAAGATATCAAATATGATATTGATTGTGGAATTTGCAGAAAATGAAAAATCACCGTGTAGGATCGAGTACACATTTTTTCTCGCCAATGTCAAGAAGTCCTCGATCGAAGACAACCCTCATGACGATTCTGTTGAAACAGACATGCCTAAAATGTATTTGAAGGTTTTGACTTTACTGACAATAGAGAAATTTGTAGCGACACATGGACCGTTTACGGCTGTTATCGAGGAACAACAAGAAAAAAATGATCCTAACAGTCGTAAAAGGACTATTATGTGTAACGATAAACCAAGAAAAATGTCTAAACACCCCGCTTATTTTATACCTGAGCTTGCCCACATAGTCGCTTTGTGCGACGAAAGACTACCCTTTACAGTGCTGGCACAAGAATTGACAAAACGCGGCATTAGCAATCAAGGCGTGCAAGTAGAAGCAAACGCTACTACCTTTGTTTTAAAAATTTTGTCATTACCTCCTCCTGCTGGAATCGAAGTGAACAATCCTAAATGGATATCTCTATGCAAACGTGTATTATCAATATCTATTCGAGTATTCGGAAAAGGTACTACACGATGTTGGACTACTGAATATGTGTTTTTTGGAAGCCCGTTGCCTAGTACACATAGTAGAGAGCAAGGGGCCCGTCGTCCAGTTTATATGAATTACGATGTTAGCATTGCTGAAAATACTTCTAAAACGGTCGAAACATTATTGAACGACTGGTCTCAAATTGTGCATCTGTATTTTTTAGTGGAGGACCTGTCTCCTTATTTGCAACTCGAGAAAAACAACTTGGCATCTATGATAAGTATAAAAAGTTACAACTATTTGAAACTTGTTATAGGATATGGCACTCAAAGACGTTCGACGGCAACGATCCAGTGGAACTCGTCGACTAATAGATTTACTATAGTTTTTGGTTCGCTCAACAGCAGTATTAATCCACATAATTTAATCAAAGAACAATTTGAAGGTTACCTCAATAGTAATAAAAAGTTGTCAATGCTCATTCATGAAATTTTGGATACGTTCAATCCTCTGAGTGCAATTTGTAAATTACCATCAATACCTCAACTTTGTGTTTTACAAGTCAGACCACAAGTACCAGTTATTACTTTTGGAATTGTTGCCAACTCGACAAATTTAATTAAAGTTATTTATGAAGGACAATACTGTTTAGAAATAACGTTGAGATGGGGAAACTTGGTCAGTATAAGAGATGGAGCTTATAGTAGATACGATAGGACGTCTGTGATTTCTGATTATATACCAACGCCGGGATTAAAAGCTTTTTTATCCAAGTATGTAGATGAAGCTAATATGTTTAGAAGACGATCACAATCGGAGGATGATAACCCACCATCACCTATCACTATGGACAATGTTGAAGGAAACTTTTTAGGTGGCTCGTCTCATAGAGGTCCTCAATCGCCCGCACCAGGTTTACGGTTTCATTCTGCCGGTAATTCTACACCAGGTAGCAATCCACATACTCCGGCTAGTCCACATCCTGCTGTTGGAGTTGCGGGTATGTCGCAAAATACTCAACAGCAATACATCAATAGCCCTGCAACGTCTTTCAATTTGGCATCTCCACCATCATTACCGTCCGCCATCAATCCATCGCCGTCGATGCTACCACATCCTTCTCCGGGCTCTAGTCTGATGGCTAGTTCTCCATCAAATCCTTTACATGTACCTAGCCCAGCAGGGATGCTGTCTAATTCTTCGCCGGGTCCGGGATCTGGTTTTGGTTTGAGTTCTAATACTCATCCACCAGAAGTAAGTCCTTTTCCTTCTCAGAGTATGACTTCTCCTGCTGCATCAAATTGGCCTGGATCCCCCGGCTTGCCTCGTTTATCGCCTGCCCGAGCTCAAGGACAATCTCCAGCGAGTCATTGCCTGCAAAGTCCAGATCATAAAAGTAGCTTTACACATACTTCTAGGGTGCTTCCTCAAAAATCTTGGGCAGGAGCAGTTCCTACAATTATTACTCATGAAGCCTTAGATGCATTGTGTACACCGACAGCCCACCCACATGGACTTGCTGCGCCTAAACAGTGTCCTCTGGAAAGATTCTTGGGTTGTGTGTATATGAGAAAAAATCTGCAGCGTTTCGTTCAGACAGAAGAAAATCTCATCTCTTTGAATTGTTCCGAGCCGGGTGTTGTCAATTTTAAAGTTGAAACTTTACATTGTCGAATTTTTATTAATATGCAACATTTCCAGTCATTACATTTAAAAATATCTTGTATTCCAGAGCAAAAAGATACATGGACCATGGAAGAACTGAGTATTTTAGAGAATTTTTTTGAAAACAAAGTAGCTATACCGCCTTGTAAACCTAACACATTACTAGGTTTTACACGTTTGTTGAACTGCCCATATACCGTACTCAAGGATTTTATACAGATAATTAAACTGGAAATGATCCCAAATCTCATTCAGCAACAACAAATGAAGTGGGCTGTACAATGGTGTTTGCGAATACCTCCATCGGCCACACCAATCGTACCTGTCGGTAAAGAAGCTTTGCTGATTTGTCGTAATAAAATATTATTTTTTTTACAAATCACTAGAATTGGTGTAACATACAGCGGCAACGAAGTTCCCTCACTAGTTTTACCTCTTGTATATGATACTGCAACTAATTTGACACAGTTGGCTGAGAAAAGAGACGCAGGACCAGCATCTGCAATATCAGCGGCAAGCTTACATATGAAACGATTTGCCGAATTTTCACTTAATCACCACGAATGCTCTATATTTCCGGCAGTTAGAGATCTCATGACAAATTTTGTACTTCCTTCAGAACCACAACCACAAATGTCGCCTGCATCCATGAACATGAACATGCACCCGCAAATGGGTGGTCCAGTGTCATCGCCTCTTATGGGACAACACATGATGAATCAAAATTCCGGTATGGTTGGACAAAATCCTAATAATATGATGGGACAAAATCCCAATATGGTTGTTCAAAATCCTAACATGGTAGGCCAAAACCCCAATATGGTAGGGCAGGCTCCAAATATGGTTGGGCAAAATCCTAATATGATGGGTCAAAACCCTAATATGATGGGACAAAATCCTAATATAGTCGGGCAAAATCCTAATATGATGGGACAAAATCCTAATATGATGGGACAAAATCCTAATAATATGATGGGACAAAATCCTAATATGGTAGGGCAAAATCCTAATATGGTCGGACAAAATCCTAATATGATGGGACAAAATCCTAATATGATGGGACAAAATCCTAATAATATGATGGCACAGAATCCCAATATGGCCGGTCCGGGACAAAACTATGGTGGTGTTCCGATATCTAATATGGGACCTCAACATGGAATGATGCCCTCTCATTAATAATATAATATCTATTACGATAAACTAAGATGGAGTTTTTAATTTTTAACTTAAGTGTTTTATTTTAATATAGGTAGTGTATATATAAGGATTTGACTTTACTGTTATAATACATAACCTATTGTATGTATATTAAGATGTACCTATTGTTATGTATATTTATAATATAATTATTGTATGTATTTAAATGTATGTGTGTGTTAAAATTTACACATATGTAGGGTACAAGGAAAAAAACAATAAAGTATTTTTAATCTAAGGAAAACATGTTTAAAACGTCAGTATGTCAAAATTAATTTTGTGGTATTCATTTTTACCAAAAAGAAATGATTTATCAGGTTTTTCGCAGTACCCTTTATGTTATAATTATTACACTTTTATTAAGTAAAAAATGTTTAGAGTTAATCTTGAAATGTGGTTGTAAATTAGGTTAGAAAATGTGTAATGTTACCTAACACAAAGTGAAACATTTAAATTATTAAACTTTATGTAGTGTGTGTATTGAATTTCCATTAGTCATTACTCATTACTATACCTATACTTAATATAATAACTGTTTTTGTTTGTAAAATTATTTTATTATAATTTATAAATTACCTACTTGTAAAGTTAAATAAATTGTTCGTTTTATGTTTTATGCGACTATTCATGTATACGCACAGAGTGTGAAATGTAATATACAATAGTTATTTTAAAATGAATGGATTTATATACCAAATAAAAATTTAAATGTTATATAGCTATTTATGGGATAATAAATCTTAAAAAATATTGTTTAAATACTAAAACAATTTTCAATATTTAGTTCAATGTATTGAATTATTATCATTATTACTATTGTCACTATCATTAGTCATTACTTTTAAGCTATCTATACATCATTTGTACAAAACATTATGCTGCATCCTAAGGCAATCTGAAAGTCAGGTAGTTCATCGAATATTTTAATGAACGGTTTTATCTCTAATTTTTTAATTAAATACATTTTTTTTTTTCTAAAATATAATTTAAATTTATAAATGAAAACATACTTAAAATGACTTATTTAGCATTTGAAACAGTTCATAAAAATGTGTTTTAATTAAAACTTATTTTCAAATTATTATTTGGTATTTAAATAAATAAATGCCCGCAGGGTTGATTGCAACTAGGTACCATTCCTTTCGGTTATTCGATATTTCCCATAAAAACATGATCCACATTAAATTGGCAATACCATTATTTTTTCAAAAAAACCTAAGAATTTGTATTTTTAAGAAAATTATTATGAATAAAAAATGACAAGCACCAAGAACGCTATCACTTAAACATTTATAATTGGGGCAGAACGGATTTAAAATGGTACGTACTCAATTTATAGCAATTATTGGAACTTATTCATCTCTTATGTCTTATCCCAGACAAAAGGTATCGACTTGCACAATATTTTTTTTTTATTCTCACTTCTTTATTTACTCAATACACGTCCGTCCACCATGTGTTCAATATTATAACACATATCTCCCTTATTTTTTTGGTCATTGAAAATCTAGGAAAATTGGTATTAATTATATCCTAGCCTTCAAAGCAACCATAAGCTATTGAAACTATGTTTTGATCTTATTTTGTATAAAATGAATAACGATTGTTCTTGAATGAATAACCAAATTCTATTTCACATGCATCAAATTATATTTTTTGTTTTATCTACAGTAGGTACCTACAAAACTTCAACTAGGTATCGTCATATGGTGTAACGTGTTGGTATTATATAAAAGATTCAACTATACCGTTCAATAAAGACTTAGCGTTGTAACACACGGGAAATTGAAAACGGCACCTACAATGTAGTACATTACAATACACTGTACAAAATGCAATATATGTATTCAATGGCGAATATTGCCGTAAAACCGTATTATAACCCTTAGCCAGGTTTTTCTCAAAAAAAAGCAAGTGACGGATATTTTTCAGTTGGGTATATGTATTTATATAGGTATACTGTAGCTCTGGCGGAGAAATTGGCATGTAAAATCGTATAGGTACTTGCACAAGCATGTATAAAACGTTACGCGTCATTCCATTTAAGCACTAACAACATATAGGTAGGTATATTATCAAAAGAATTTGGATAATACAGTCAAATTGGTTTTACGGTTAACGTTGCAACATTGTAGCTAGTCAACCACCCTAACCTACCAGATAGAAATTGGTTTTGGTCATTGGGAATTTTTTGAAAAGACCACATAACAAAACAAAGTTCTTGCAATCGATGATATATATACATATATCCCCACTAAGACCCAGTCAACTTCTCCGAAATTTTTCTTTTTTAGACTCTCTGACATAAGTCACAATACCCAAATCTAAATGTTGGGGCCGATCAGAAGATGAGATAATATTTTATAAGTTTAAAATATAAACAATTTTGTACCCGGTATGACCCTGCCGATATCTCATAAAACTACATTTTTATTATAATCATTTACTCTCAAACATAAATTAAAATTCGTGTCGTCAAATGTATTTATAACTGTTAAAAACAACGTCTGAAGCGTGGCGTGGGAAGAAAACGATAAAAAAGCTATATTAAAGTGCAATAACGGGACAAAGGATTGTAAACGTATAAAGTAGATGAGATGTAATGTTGGTCAAGTGAATGGGTTTGCGTTAATGAAACAAACTTGCAGCGGATGGACTGAGACAAGATAAACGCTATAAATTAATATTCAAGACGAGACGTGGAAAAATGGTTATTGGACTGTACAAATGCAAAAATCATAATTGCCGCCAACGAGTTCAACGCTGTTTAATATAGAAGAATACGAAGAAGTTGCTTATTAAATGCATACCATTATACTACAACACAAGACAATATAGCTGTCGCGTTTAGGCGCAGATTAGTTTGGAAGTCATTTAAGAGGCCTCTGTCCCTGGGTATTTTTGGTCGAAAACAACTCATTCTACTTCAAATACGTACTGTTTCTAAGAATACTCCGATTTAAATGATGAAAAAAAACTTTTGAACTCTTCATAACATTTTCAAGGCAATGACTGTGGCACAATTTTTAAATTATTTTTTGCAAATTTATTATTTCAGTTTAAAAAAGTTAAAAATTGCAGTTTTTTACATTGAAATAATTGATCAAGTGAACATAATTTTAAAACCACGCCACATCTATTGCCTTGGAAATTGTATGGAGAATTCAAATGTTTTTTCAAAACTTAAATCGAAGAATTCTTAGGATCAATACGTTTGAAGTAGAAACATAATTATATTATTGTACAAAAATAGATCCTATAATCTATATCGTTATAAAAGTTGAAAAAAAATTATCAATTATTTTTCACTATAATGAGTTAGAACTTAGGTATTTATAATTCTGAATGATTCTAGGATGTCATACACGGCCAGATTCTAAATCGATTAATTTGTCTGTTATTACGGTGTTTATAACGAGACACATGATATTAAGATTAAACAGAAATTTTATTTGAATTTGTTCATTATAAAATTAATTTAAAATGTCTGCTTTATCTTAATCTTATGCTTAACCTAACCTAACTAGAGACAATAAAATGTGACCTCGAGACTTGACTCATTGCTTAACTTTTGTATTTTTGAAACAAAGTTATTATCGAAAAAAAAAAAGTAGACAAGTAAACCCAACAAAAATTACTAAGATTAAAAACAATAATATAACATAGCATAATATGAAGTTTAATTATATCGATATCGCAATATGATATTTAATATTTAATGTTGCTAGTTAATTGAAAATTTATGTCCATAGTGCTATTATTTATAACATGGATATAATATGTTTTCTAACATTTGACAATACCCTATAATTTTACTCTCCTTCCCTAATCCCTCCACAAAAAAACCTCTTAGTTTCATTTAAAAAATGTAATTCCGTTTTATTTTTGTTCCATAATTCAGGATAGCTTTGAACAATAATATTTGTAAGACAATTTATGACTAGTCGTTTATAAGTTAGCAAGACCGTTACGGGTTACTAGCGCCAAGCCAGAGTCGCAGAGGGAGTACAGGTACCTACGTATATAACGATATTATAACAATATATCATTATCTGTGTATATATTTATTATTAAACCGCGTTATCCCCGTCGTAAGTGTAATAATTCAAAATTCGATATGTCTTTAATCTTCAGGGCTTTACAAGGACGCGGCCGGAAAGAACCGTTATTTTAGAACATCTATAAAATATATCAAAACTGTAATAACATTTAACAGATTGTTCCAATTATTCTACCACGCTACTTAATATATTTTGTAAACTATGTAGCATTTTAATATATTTTGATCGCATAATGCTAATGTAAAACTAAAACCAATAGCCAACTCCATTTAATTATTTCTTTACAGTGTGTATAACATTCCATCGTCTATGGACCGTGTTTACGGTCCAATATGATTAAACTACCTTTGTTATACCTATTGAAGGTACCATGCCAGTATCTAATTGCACGTAAGTTTACTACTAATATAATATTATAAAGTGTACGTAAAATATCGATTGATACTACGAAAAATACTTCAAAAAACAGTTCATTCAATATCGCGACACGTGTTATTACACTATTAATGTGTACAGAGGATCGCCAATCGCCAATACTCGTATTGTATTAACTCCGAATCGTATGGAAAGGTTTTGTTATAGGACATACGCCTTTATGATTTACAAAAATATTATTTTAAAATGGCGAATTGCTGCGAAATTACTGATTTGATGGATATTGATGTAATAATTAAATACGATATCCTGCTCGTATACAAAGGCAGGACCAGACAATATATATTATGTGTTTTCAATATAAAGCAAACACACTATGGTTAAGTTGAAAAACTTTTAATTGCACTTGGCCAATACGCGGTAACAAGTATATTAAGCGTGTTTTATGTCGTTAATGATATTTTCCTTATAAGTTCTCACTGCACACAGCCGTTAGTGTACGAGTATATAATATAAACATTACGGATCGATAGCTTTCTGTGAGTTGTGTTTTATTAATATTGTATATATTATAATAAAATACGATCGTCGTCAATTTTTGGCGTTCACCAATTTTGGTTACTTTTTAAAAAAAAAAATTCTCTGCCATCCTGGTGTATTGCAGTTGGCTAAAACCGGACAAAAGACACGGCAAAAGCATCGGATTGGGCGAATCGCACTGTGCGATCGGCTCGGCACATCCAAAGTTTAAAGTCACCCGAACACGCGTTAGTTAATTGGCAAAGGGGCAGCACAAGAAAGCAGGCAATCAATGTGTGCAGGTGCGGTATCGGTAACACGGCAACACCTTTTAATGGCTTCAGCGTTTGTTGTTGGCAGCACACGTGTGTTAGTGGAACTTGGAAGTTAACGGTGTGCGTTCACGATAAGTTTCGACGGGTAGGTAGGTAGATACACAGGTAGGACAGTACGCGGTAAACAGTGGGATATATTTTTTTAGTATCCTACACACGTCATAATACAAATGAGTTCATGTTAACTTACAACAACCAAATAGTACATCAAATATTAGACAATGTTGTAATTAAGTAGCTGTTGTAGATGATACTTTTCTTCTTCTTCACTACAGTACTGTCGTACACTGGACTCGAACG